TCCGCTTACTGCTGGCACGCCAGGTCAGCCGAAGCTGAAGCTCACCTTCAACAATCCCAACCGGGATAGCCCCAGCACTTCAAACGGTGCTGATTACGGCATGGGAGAGTGAATTGTTTAACATTGTGGGGTCTGGCAACCTAATTAAAGTACCCCACGCTTCATATTGCGCCTGCGACTTCTTTTCATGTTGCTCGTGCATTCTTCTTGTCATGTGTAATCCGAAAATACTTTCTTCTTCCACTTCTGTGCTATCTAGGAAAGGCGTTTTTTTTCCCGTGCATGTTTTGTTTTCGAAATCGGGGATGGAATTCCGGAGGATGGCGCTGTATTGTTCCAAGCGATTGATTTCCCTGGGTACGTTGTCTTGACTGCGACAAGATTCGTTTTGTGCAAGACCACCCCTGTATTTGATGAGTATGTACCTACAAGCTAGGAACAATTCGAATCGATTTGACCCATGTACTTTGTAATGCTATCTATTCCCAGTCTTTTATAATTTGGACATCTATTTTGAACCATCGAAGTTCGGTCCGTATGCATGGCCCCCCCAAGATGCATGCAGATGCTCACCGATCTTTGAGATCGTAGAACAAGGCAAGGTATAAGAGACTGCAATCCCTGTTGATATGCAGAGACACTTTCTCACCTAGTCCTCACTTCGCAACCATGTCTACAAACCAAGACCTAGCCGGCAAAGTTGCAATAAGTAAAGTCCACCACCACTCCAAGCCAACCAAAAATACTTACAAAAAACACCAGTCACAGGCTCCAGCCGCGGCATCGGCGCCGCAATAGCCCTCAAATTCGCCCAACGTGGAGCAGACATAGCCATAAACTACGTCTCCAACGCCACGGCAGCCGAGTCCGTCGTCCAGCAGATCCGAGCCCTAGGCGTACGCGCCCTCGCCATCAAAGCCGATGTCTCACAGGAAGAAGAAGTAAAAACCATGTTCGAGACTGTGCACCGCGAATTCGGCCGTCTCGATATCGCTGTCAGTAACTCGGGCATCGAGCATTTCGGGGATCTGTCTGAGGTTAAGGGTAGCGATATCGATGCCATCTTTGCGGTTAATGTCAAGGGACAATATTTCGTCGCTCAGCAGGCTTATCGTTTCATGGAGGATTATGGGCGGGTTATGTTGACTTCGTCGATTTCGGCTGTTAAGGTGAGAGGATATGGATATGGATATGGACATGGGCTCTAGGGGTCTTGGTGGATTCTTGGATTCTTGGATTGCGGATGGAGCTGACAACTTCCGATGTGATTTAGGGCGTCCCTCGTCATGCCGTCTATGCTGCTTCCAAAGCCGCTGTACAGGGAATGACCAAGTGTCTTGCGATGGATTTTGGTCCGCGAAACATCACTGTTAACTGCATTGCTGCTGGCGGTGTCAAGACTGATATGTATACCGAGATGTCGGCGAAGTATATCCCCGGTGGTGACAAGATGAGTCCTCAGCAGATCGATGAGGCTTTGAGCAAGTGGTCTCCGCTGGGCCGGCCTGGGGAAGTTGAGGATGTTGCTGGGGTTGCGTCTTTGATTGCTAGTCCTGAATCGCAGTGGCTGACTGGGCAGACTTGGCAGGTCTCCGGTGGTGCTTATATGGCGTAGATGGGGCTGAGAATATGACTGATCCAATTTCTTAAATACTATGGCCTTGAGTATCACATGATCAGTCTAAGCTTTGTTCCTGGTCTCTCGAAAGCCACAGATTCTAGTATCTACTTCACTTATGATTGCTAGAATTCAAAAATGATCAACATGGCACTACACACAACCCGATCCCTTTTCAAAAGACCCCTTTCTAGTTTATTCTAGATTCTACTGATTAACGAAATCAATCAACATAATTCCTTTGAAATCCCCGTTTGCTCTAAATACCATATTCTAGTAAGCGACATCGGCCGCCTAGAAGATTACGACAACTACCGTGACTTCCTACGAAACCAAACATCTAAATTTGAGGTCGTGTTCTTGGGTCTTGGAATCCACGAATTCTACGAGACAACATTAAATTTAGGCCTCGAAAAAGCCAAACAACTCGGAAACGAACCTTGCATGGATGACCCACTAATATTACTCCATCAACGAAGATACGAGATCCCGTTTTCCCGCGTGATAATCATAGGTTGCACACTCTGGCCTCCAATCCCGCCGGAATCAACAGATATAGTCCATTACAAAATCTCCGATTTCCAAAAGATTAGAGGGTGGTCTGTTGAGCAGCATAATAAAGTTCACGAGTCCGACTTAGCCTGGTTAAGAGGTGAGATCCAAACTCTTCGGAAGACTTCGCAAGAAAAGCGGTCTATCCTGGTAGTGACGCATCATGCACCATCCCTGCAGCGCACTTCGGGTCCACAGCACGCTTAAGAATTTGTGGAGTTGTGCGTTTGGATCTTTTATCGCGGTTTTGGGATGGAGTCAATGTTTGGGGGCTTGGGCATACACATTTTACGATTGAATTTAAGGAGAGGGGGATTAGGGTTGTGAGTAACCAGCGGGGATATGTGCTTCCTTGGAAGACTAAAAAGTGGGACTTTGATGTGAGGAGGGTGGTATGGGTATGACTGATAGTTTCACAGGTTGAACTCCTAGCAGCACCTATGGAGGGGGATTGTGCTTATTTTTAACCACAGAAGCACAGAAATACGAGACTTGGACGAAGATGAGGTTTAGTGGAATATGGCTGTTGATATCCAACCGGACAAACAGAGCAAAATCACATGTAGGTATAACGTCACACCGATGGTCTAATATCTACAATGAACTCTGATCTGCTGCACAATACCAACTCTTCAGCTTTGAGATCCACCATGAAAGCAATTGTCCTCAAAATATTAGGCGGGCCCGAGTCCATAGTCCCTAGTTATTAAAGATGTGGCCATCCTAGAGCTAAAGCATGGTGATGTCGTAATACAAACCAAAGCATTTGGCATCAACCATGCGGAAATGCACATACAAAATAGAGAATGGGCCGAATGGATGCCAATCAGCGACATCGAGTGTGTGGGAGCAGTATCCAGTTATCCAGGATGAGAATTTAAAGAAGGAACACCTGTCGCAAGTCTCATTGGCGAGCTTGGAGGTACTATTGACAGTAGCTACGCTGAATACACCTGAGTCAAAGTCTCAAATGTCGTTGCACTTGGGCCAGCTGCAGAACTACGTTGGGACTAGCTTGCAGCCATCCCGGAACGGTATGCTCGTGGACATATCTATTTCGGAGCCTAGAGATAGTGGCTGGTCAACGGCTTCTGATTCGCGGTGGGACCTTTTCTTTGGGGAGAGCAGCGATTGACCTGGTAGTCCAGGCTGGAGTCCATGTTACCGCAACAACCAGAACGGAGAGCCGTATGTCCCAACTCGAGGCTCTTCGTGTTAAGAAGGCATTGATAGAAGGACCAGACATCTCCGAACGTATTTCTGATAAGTTTGACCCTATTCTAGAACTTGGTGGTAATAGCACCGTTGTTGACTCACTCAAAATGGCGCGCAGAGGAGGACAGGTCTGGACCTGTCTGGCTGGGTTCTTGGGCGGACTTGTGCCCATTCCGGATTTCAATCCTCTTTCACAGATGGCGAGTGGTGTCCACTTTAGCTTCTTTGGGAACTTTGTTTTTCGGACCCCCTGAGTTTCCTTTGTCGGATGTTCCTCTTCGGGAAATCGTGACTAACGTGGCGCGAAAACAATTTAATGCAGATCCTTGGAAATTCTTTCGCTTTAAGGAAATCTAGCAAGCTCACCGTTTGATGGAGGACAATGAGGCACATGGCAAGATGGTGGTTAAGGTTGATTGAAATAATAGTTTATGGTATTCTTGCATAAAGGGTTGGAAATGCCAGTTTGTTCTTCTGGTATTCTTCCTTCAAGTCTGGAAGAGCTATAACTAGTTTCGGCTACCCCGACTATTATGTAAATCAATTAATCTAACTAGTTTCATTTATGGAGCTATAGTGTTTAAGAATTCTTGATCTGATAACGTTTGGTGACTCGGGTGTTGTTTCATGGCGGGTCACTCACTACGAACCCTCTACCCCCTTTACTTAGATAGCAGCATTGTTATAAATGTGGGTCATGTATCTTGTTCCGACGGAGTATTCGGTGAGTGCTGGACTGCCCCGACGATTGACCGGCGGGAGGAGGATGAGCAGATATTCAACCTCGTGCATTGTTCAAGGGCCACCAAATAAAATGAGCTGGAGGTCAATGTTTCCGAATAAGACCATAGCCAAGCGACTAGTGGAAAAGAATTGAAGCGGACAATCTTGTAGTCTAGCCTTTCTCGATCGAATATTCATATCTAGCAAGCCAATTATAGCTACCCCATGTGGATATTAGACCCGATAGGGCCTACCTTATCTGGACATTAGACCCGATAAGGCCGAAGTTCCACCGTAGACCGTGAGGCTGACACTTCTTCGATCCCAAGGTGTTAGCCCTGCCACGCGTACGTATCTAGGAATGACGCGATCGCCAGGCCATAGATAGGTTTTAGGGTTAGATCTTAAGTGTAAGGGAATAAATCTTACCCGGCCATATCAAACTTGAAATAGGCTACGAACCTCCTTGCCCATTATTGGTCAACCATCCTCTCTGAAGAAAGGATTTACTCCGTAGCCCTTAATTTGGAAGGCAGAATCTAACTAGATACACGTTAGGCTATGGAGACTGACCCGTTTCCCTTCACGTTCTGAACTGTGCCTTGCGATGAGTGTTGGATGACGACGACTAAGTATCCACGCCACAGAGTATGAGCCCCAATTTGAGGTGTGGTTTCATGGTTTGATTGCAGGCAACGCAGCGGGTTAACGCATGATCTGCACTTTAGTTGCCAGAAACTGGAGACCAACTGTTTTCATATAGAGTCCTAAAGATACTATAAGTATAGCCTTACCTCTAGCGTTCCTTCGAATCCTCCAGCTCTTCACACTCGTTGTATTTTCTTCTTGACACTCATTCATTCCATTTTATATTTATCTATTATACTTCAACATGCGTCTCTCCTGGGGCGCATCTGTTGCAGCCCTGGCAGCATCGGCAAGCGCTGCTTCGCTTGCTGATGTCTGTACCGTCTCGAATGTGCGGTCTGCCCTACCCTCCAATGGCACTCTGCTGGGTATCAGCATGATCCCCTCCGCTGTGACTGCCAGTGCTGTCTACAATGCCAGCGCTGGTATGGGGAGCACCGAGACCTACACCTACTGCAATGTGACCGTCACCTACGAGCACACCGGTAAGGGGGACTCCGTCGTGATCAAGTATGCCTTCCCCAAGCCCTCTGACTTCAAGAAGCGCTTCTATGTCGCCGGCGGTGGTGGTTTCTCTCTGTCCAGCGATGCAACCGGTGGTCTCGAGTACGGTGCTGTCAGTGGTGCCACCAGCGCAGGCTATGATGCCTTCAACTACAGCTACGACGACGTGGTCCTCTACGGTAACGGAACCATCAACTGGGATGCAACCTACATGTTCGGGTACCAAGCTCTAGGTGAAATGACCAAGATCGGAAAGGTTCTTACCAAGGGCTTCTACGGCATGTCTTCTTCTGCCAAGGTCTACACCTACTACGAAGGCTGCTCTGATGGTGGTCGCGAGGGTATGAGCCAAATCCAGCGCTACGGAGAGGAGTACGACGGAGCGATTACCGGAGCCCCGGCCTTCCGTTTCGGCCAACAACAAGTCCACCACGTCTTCCCAGCCATGGCCGAGCAGACCCTCGACTACTACCCCCCTCCCTGCGAGCTGGCCAAGATAGTCAACGCCACCATCACCGCCTGCGATCCCCTCGACGGCCGAACCGACGGCGTCATCTCCCGCACCGACCTCTGCAAGCTGAACTTCAACCTAAGCTCTATCATCGGCGAAAAATACTACTGCGCAGCAGAAACCAGCACCTCCCTAGGCTTCGGCTTCAGCAAGCGCGCCGACGGCTCCACCACCTCCACCACACCCGAACAGAGCGGCAAAGTCACCGCCGAGGGCGTGAAAGTCGCGCAAACCATCTACGACGGTCTCCACAACTCAAAGGGTGAGCGCGCCTACCTATCCTGGCAAATCGGCTCTGAGCTCAGCGACGGCGACACGACCTGGAACAACGAAACCAGCAAATGGGAACTCAGCATCCCCTCGACGGGCGGCGAGTACGTGACCAAGTTCATCCAGCTCCTCGATCTCTCCAACCTCTCCGACCTCAACAACGTCACCTACGACACTCTTGTCGAGTGGATGAACACCGGAATGGTCCGCTACATGGACAGTCTGCAAACCACCCTGCCCGATCTAACCCCGTTCCAATCCTCCGGCGGAAAACTGCTGCACTACCACGGTGAATCCGACCCCAGTATCCCCGCTGCGTCGTCCGTGCATTACTGGCAGTCTGTCCGCTCGATCATGTACCCGGGTTTGTCTTCGCAGGAGAGTCTTAAAGAACTCGCCGAGTGGTACCAGTTCTACCTCATCCCTGGTGCTGCGCACTGCGGTACAAATTCCCTCCAGCCTGGTCCGTACCCGGAGGATAATATGCAGACTATGATCAACTGGGTGGAGAATGGTGTTCAGCCTTCTCGTTTGAATGCCACTGTTTCGTCTGGTACTTATAAGGGTGAGACACAGATGCTTTGCCAGTGGCCTACTCGTCCGGTCTGGAAGAGTAACAGCACCTTCACGTGTGTTAATGATAAGGCTTCCATTGACAGCTGGACTTACTCTTTTCCTGCTTTCAAGGTGCCTGTGTACTAGCTTGTATTGCTTGTATACAGTCGCTCTGAAGCATGCCAAGGATGTATCTCGCTTGAGTTGTCTTTGGACTGAAGACCGGAGATTAGATTGCGGATCAGCCCTAATTCAGCCCTAGAGGGGTCTGGATTTGGGACCAAGTTGGGATTCTACCCTAATCATATTCTGCTCAATACCGATTTCTACATCTGTTTTGTTTTATAAAATGGACGTGGCCTTGATTTGCAAACTATTGGATCCTGATACTGCCTACGTGGTAGCATGCGTTGTCCATTGGGGGGCGATTGCCCCTCATTTGGGAGCCAAGGGGTTTGTGATGAGTTGTCGTTAGGCCTCGTTTATTATACAACGTTGTAGATCTAGTAACTTTTCGCATGTGATGGCATGTGGGTATATCAAATTAGGCTACGAGTAGTCTCTTCATGCTCAATTTTCTGTACCAGGAATATTTCGAGAATTTTCCAATCTTCGTTTTAAATCTATATAAACGGTATCTAAAAAGAAATCTGAATTGTGCTTTGTAATTTGTACTTTGCAATTTGTTCAGCATGAAAACTCCCCCCAAATAACCAAAAGGTATATCCAACTAAACACCTGGAATCAAAACCTAAGCAACACTCTAACCGAGAGTGAGAGTGTAAGCGGCATCGATACCGCAAGCCAAGGTGTTGACATCATCAGGCTGCTGGTAGGACTCGGAGCAGTCGGCATCACCAGGAGCGCAGGTAGCGGTGGGGCAGGAGGAATCGCTGATAGTGACAGCGAATCCGGCCTGGACGAAGGTCGAGGTCTTGAGCAGGTTGATAGAAGACATATCCCAGAAGAGGACGTCACCGGACTGGGTGTACTCGAACTGGAGGACGTCGTCGCAGACCTCGGTGGTGGACATCTTGATGGAGATACCGCCGCCGTTGGTGTTGGTGAGCCAGGTGTTGCTGGTGAAGGTAGCGCCGGAGGCAACGGTCTGCATTTCGCCGGCGGTCTCGGTCACGACCCACAGGTAGACGTTCTCCGAGAGGTTGTTGACGATGGAGAGACCGCTGCCGGTGGCGGTGGGGCTGCTGCTGGTGCTGGACGGGACGACGGTGGTGCTGGATGGGACGATGGTGCTGGTGGAGCTGGAAGAAACGCTGGTGGGAGTTGGCACGACGGTGGCGACGCTGCTGCTGGGGATGCTCAGAGTCGGGATGCTGGTGGTCGAGGCGACGGGAGTCCAAGTCGAGGAAATGACAGAGGAGGTGGTGGTGGTGGTGGTGGAAGGAATGGCAACCGCCTCGACAAGGTTGGTGGGGGCACTGATCGGAGTGGCAGTCTGGTAGACGGTTTCATAGACAGTCTCCCAGACGGTCTCCTCGACGTAGTGGACGTCGGGAATGGCGACAGGGAGCGCGGAGGCAGTGATTGCCAGAAGGGCCGAGAGGCCGATAACGTTGAAGCGCATTTTGGCTTAAAGCTGAATCCGAAATTGAAAGAAGGTGTGGAGGGACAGTGGGTGTTCTTTGAAAGAAGGACTTTAGTCTGATCTACAGAACTGTTAAAGAGAGTGTTGGTATGAGGCTCAGCCCCAAGGTATGAATCCAAATGAGTGTGATTCGAAAGATCGTGATGTCAAAGGAGAGAAAGAAAGAGGAGAAGGAGGAGGGTATAGCGCCATTTTATTCATTGGGGTGGAGTACGTAGGCATAGGGCATTGGGCGTGTCAGATTTTGGTGTTGCAGGCGTTTGATAGGCCGTCGAACCCATTGAACCGTAAAATTGGGTTAACCATGTGTATCCATGTGGTCGGTGCCTGACTAAAATGGGGTCAATCCTATTGATCCTATTGGCGACCATTGTTAGGGTCAGGAACAGAGATCTGGTTTGACCAACCCGAATGGAACTGGCTAACGAGTTTCCATGGGTGGCGTAGTTCCTGAACCGCGCATTTAAGTTTTTTAATCGTTTTTTTCATCGTTTTTTTCGATTCTGCGCTGTTTCTGACTTGTTCGCCAGCGCTAGGTTTTACTGTGGAGATAGGCGCCTGGTCTAGATCGAATCACAACCCACCGAGAACTCGGACCAAAAGTTTTCAATTTGCGCTTGTTCTTTTTTTTTGCTTATGAGATTGCGCCACCTGTTTGACATCCCGCACCATGCCCCTGAATATCATTATTTCCTGCCTGTCTACGGAGTCAGGAGTACTCCGTACAATATGCATCAATATAAAAGATCTTCTCGATTTCCCCAGGCCAAGAGCAACTTAATTCGACTTAATTCGACTTAATTAAAGCTTATCTATTGGGTTGAAACGGGTTGGGAAGGAGGATAGATTATCACTTTGCCCTATCTACTTTGGATAATGGCCAGCATGCCCATGTTGTGGATACGAGATTTGGGTCACATACACCATGGTTTGATTATACTTCTCTAGTCAGGCACTCTACGGAGTTGTAGTACGTAGGTACATCCATAATCAGGCACAGACCTCCCGGGACTTTCCCCCATCTTGACGCCACGGTGGATTTGGGAAACGGCTTAGAAAATTCTATCGGCATTTTATCGTGCCAAGCCCTAAGATATGTGGCAATCCATACACAAAAGACACCGTCTTTTCATGAATCGGTACCATACAAATGCATCCTATCATTCCCTACACCCTTAGATGGATGTGGCGATTGACCCGCCAAGTCATCACCCCGCTCATCCACAGAAAAAATTTGTGTTGTAGTTGACTATGTTGTATGTTGTACTCCATACTTCGTACAACTTACATTACAATTTACATTACAACTTAGATGTAAAAAATGGTAGGTGAGTTGCCTGTTCGAGTTAGTTTTGGGTCCCAATACGTTGTTACGTAACTCTCCTTTTATCTGTCTTCGCTTTTTGTTGTAGTCTCTCGCTTGGAGAGTTTCGTGTAGAATATATTCAATACTTCGTCAATGCCACTACATACAAACTTATAGTCCTTGTTGTAGATATGTAAGATTTTATATTCATTTTCGCAATATTGATAGTCTCCCTCACCGTTCCACATTCCTACGCCGCGGAAAACTTTTCACAAGATTGTAAACTATGTTAAGCTCACCAGCCCAGAATAACGTCAAAGCCATAACAATGACAGTCAATGGAATGGCTACCGCCCAGTAGATCCATTGCCCGCTCTCAATATCGCGAATGTCACTAGTGTTCATACCAAAAATACTCGAGACTGTATTCAACGGAAGAAAGATGATTGTCACGATTGTAAAGGCGTAGATTGCGAAGTCTTGGCGGCTTTTATCATGTTGAATCTTCTTCTCGTTCTGAAGTTGTTCAATTTGGTTAGTGAGCGTTCAACAATAAAATTCATAAGCTGGGATGAATAGCCCTTTCGCAACTTACCATTTCCTCAAGCGTACAGGCCTGGGACATAAGCTCGCTGAATCCTTCCGCCGTTTGATCAATTAGATCCTGGCAGTCTTTGGAGAAGCTGCTGCGTAGACTGATAAGACTGCTGTTGGGGGTCTGTTGACCACTGGAGTAGCTGTTGGATCCATCATCGGTTTCACTCACTGCCCCAGATTCTCCTGGCTTGGAGAGTGTATGGGCGGCATGATCCCCTAGAAGCTTCCGTTCCTGAGGCTCCCGCTGTATTTCGATTTTTGTGTTGGCTGTCGGTACAGCTAACGCGCCCAAAACCTCTCGTTTGTCCGCTAGCCTTTCTTGTATGAACTTGATTTGTGTCTGTAGGAAGGCTATTTCTTCTTTATGAGATATATCCAATTGATCAAGTTGTACGCGCTCTTTCTGCCCGTCCATTAGCACTGCTCTTTTAACTTGTTTGTTTCGGTTCCCAGAAATATGCTATAGCCGGATACTCACCAATCCACTCAGATACTTGGAGTACTTGTCGAGAATCAATCTGATATTCATACCTGGAGACTTCTTATCTAGAAGGTGGAAACCGATTAACGTCGCAACATCCAGAGGTAAAATCACCTTTGGCTTCTGGGGGACCGGCTTGGGAAACGTATCCTTCACTCCCGTGATCCCCAAGTCAAGCAGACCTAAGCAGGTGTCCATGTGTTGACGAGACCGACGCGGTTTTCGTTTAATGTAGATCAATGCCATAAGAAGATGCATCCAAGCTCTCTCCAGCGGGTGGGGGGATTTGTCAGTTGGGGGTTTGATCAGACCAATACGCGAAAAGAGAAGCTTGATCGGCTTTATCCGCATTGACAAATCAATCAGCTGGTCACAAAAACCTTTGACTGAGCTTGTATCTTCCTGTGAGTCGGATTGCAAATTCTATTGATGTCATCATTAGCCTTACCATGCTATCTAGATTCGAGTAGTTTATTCCATTGCAAGCAACCTACCTGAATGAGAAAGTACACCGCGCCCCAGTATTTCTTCAAGACAGGACCTGCAAACCCCGGAGGGGCGAAAAAGCCGTATAGCGATTCGGCTGCCTGTGCAGTTCGCATCGCCCTGGAGGCGGCGGGCTCGGTTTCTGGGAAAAGCCCTCGTACCGCATCGGAATCCGATAATGTTGCGCTGCTATAAGAGCGAGAGTCAAATTCCTGACTTTGAAGGAACTTGTCCATTGCTGCTAGACGCTTCCTTATTCTAACGCCCTTCCCATGATCTGCATCATCATGATCGCTACCATCATCATCCTGTAGTGCTGTGTTCACTTCGGCGACCCACTCGAATACGGTAAACCCGCCTTTCACCTCTGAAAATATAATATCGGATCCCTCACTAGAACAAACTGCTTGAGTCATCGTTGCAAGTCACGTTAGGTCAGGCATTTCATTGCATACCTGATGTTAAGTACCAGCCTGATGTCAAGCTCCCCTTCGAGTAGGTTTACATACTCACTAGGTTCAACAGGATTTCCTTCATGCGTGAAAAGTATCCGACTAGTGTTCAGTTCAACAAAGTGTGAGAGGAAGTTCTGGTCTCATTAGACTTTGTTTTCACAAATACTATAGCATCGAACGCAAGAGGCGGAATGTGGACATACTGGCCATGTAATGCAGTCCTTTACAGGCAGAGACCACATAACTCTCTTCTCAAAAGAAACAAAGATTGTGCGAGGACGAATCTTGAGCGGCTGATCAGTCTGACCTGTAGGTAGATATTGAAACTCTAAGTCACTGAAATCAGATAATTCTAGATCTCCATAGGTGATGAGAAGAGCTAAAACGTCAGTCTCACTGTATGAATAGATCCCATTAAGAGAACCTACAGTTGTTCATCTCAATAGTCCACAATTGTGCAACATGTAGACACTTGCCAGTTTCGGTTGGTTGCATGCGACTCATGACTTGCTTCGTCTCTCGCTCTGGTTTCAGCAATAGGTCCTTTAGCAATGACTGCGTAGGATATGAATTCGGGGATATATTCAGGTTATTGGACAGTGAATCAAAGCGAAAGTATGGAATGCAGAGCCAGGACACCACGCCAGTGTCAATTTCCTTGGACGGAAAAGTCTCAGTCAGATGACCGGGCTTCATGAATCGACCGGTTGTGCCGGGGCTTGGCTTATGATCGTATTCATTCTTGACCCTTTGGAGGAGCTTGTCAAGTGCTCTTTGCTCATTATAGAGCAAGCCAGGTATACTCATTGCATTCTCCTATCTCACATCATGAGTACGTGGGATTGAACTGCAGCTTTTCACTCAAATAACGCCAACGTACTTTGAGCTCGTTGAACTGCATCATTGATCTTTTCATGTGACTGACATGCATGGTGAGCAAAGAATATCTTCCAAGAGGGTTGGGGAAATTTGTTTCATACATCCACCGAAATAGAGCCGGACTGCTGTCCGTTGTCGATGCTACAACATTGAAACTCAATCTGGTTCTCCCTTGAAATTCGATTGGATGAACGTCAAAAGCTGTTGAGTTATCGGGGAAAGACCTGCCGGGATTGAATAATGTGTTTCTTTGAGCTTCCTCATTATCTGCATTCATTTGCACTCCAGACTCTTCCCCAACCTCGAAAAACGCGTAAACATCAACTTTGGTGTCATCTGATTCATCCTCATTTTCATCGGAGTCACTGGTAGTGGGGCTCTCTGAGAACTTGTCTTCCGTTCTAATCCCTCTGTCAATGCGCTTGTAATCAATGACCAACTCACGACCGGTGCCCATTTCGGAAACAACTAGGAGACGGATACTTCCTCGTCCATCTTTGAAAATATCTTCAATGCGTGCAATAAGCGATCCCTGGGCTAACACCGGAAGGTGTTGCTTAACATCACCCTTTTCAGTCATGGCAACGACTAAAATCTAGCTTAGTTTGTGTCTTGGAGCTCGTGGAAAGAAGATGATAGAATGATAAGGGTCGAGGGAAAGCATTTGATCGTACCTGTGCCATCAGATAAGTCCATGTCTAGCAAGCGATATGTACGAAAGACTGGCCCTAACATGGTCTGAACGACCACATCTGGCTCGGGGTTGGCGACAAAAGATCTCGCCTCGCGAATTTGTCGGGTGAATAGATCAACACCCATGTATGAGTACTGGCCTGTTTGTGGACTGACAGATATTCGAATCACCTGGCAATGCCGTTGATTGAGGATCAATATGTCACCAATTCGAATAAAATGACAAGGAATCGGGACGGACAGTTGATATCCACCGGGCACCCTAGGGCCCTTATCCGGAAAGGGTGGGTCGCTATTTCCATCAATCTTGGGGGGATGATAGGTACTCTTGTCATCGTGATAGCCACGAAGGTTTGGGGGTTCAGAAGCTTGCTCGTCATCGTAGTGACTTGCTCGCTCGGAAGTGGTACGACGAGGAAGTACCTGTGGCTCCTCTAGGACGAGTTGATTTTCAGGCTATTTAGTCAGCACGATGATATACCTAGGTACCTACTAATAGTACCGGGAGGGGAATATCCAGCAGCTCTTACAGCTCTCCTATTAGAATGATATCTCCCTTCGTCATCGTAGTAGCCCATACTCACAGCGTTCTCTGTCTCATGCAATTGAAAATTTGGGTAGGAGAAGAACTTCAACGCTGCTCTAAAAGAAGCAGATGGCACTTTACACTAGGGTGTGATCAAACTGCATGATCGGGCGTTCATGCAGTAGTCCTTTTTGGGCTGGGCGCGTATTTTTAACCACCTTACAAGCTATTCTTAGCAACGAAGTAATCTCTTAGGTGTAGTTCTTTGAGCTAGGTTTGTTAGAGAGCTATGTAATTGGTTTCACACTTGTAGATATCATGAAGACTGAGCGCCAACAATTTTTCGGTACAACATAGAGCTGGATAATGACTAACGGTGCTGGGTGGGCGCAGAATAGAGATGGCTCGCCGGCCTTTGTTACGGGTGGAAAGACGGCCGTTTCTGGCGTCAAAAGGTTTCATTTTCGGTGTCGTTTTCACAGGTCCTTATATTCTAGATGTCAAAGGACCAATGCTTAGGGAGTGGCCCCATAGGCTACATCATTGGGGAAGACGTGGGTTTTTCGGGAAGCCGATGTGTTGGAAACACGGCCGTCGGTTAGAAATCCGTGTTTCTCAGACCCAGTACTGCTGCTAGCCAACGGGCCACCCCGGCTATATTTCTCGAGAGCATTAAACACATGACCGAAGACTTGGCGGTCAACGTCGGAGGCCCATAAAAAGTCTAGATGCTCGTAGGTGGGAATCGCCTGAGCGACAGTGTCATGTGGCAACCCCTTCAGCATCACCCCAATATCAACGAGACTGTCACTGTCTCCGTATAGGAGGACAATGGGAGTCTTGATGTTGCGAGTAGGATATTTGACTGGCTTGTAAAAGCGCTCGTTGGCAGCTACACTGAAGGGGGCATAGACTTCATCATCGTAGAACTGGAAGTTCTTGTTCCGAATGATTTGGAACCAATGTACGACAGACTTGGTGCTGGTGAAGGAATAGAGATGTAAGTAGGCAGCAAGCTTTTGTGTTTGACTGATGTTGCGGCATTTCCAGTTGAAGAGGGCTCGAAGGGATGTGTCGATAATGCGCACAAAGATTGGCGGGTAGAGTATCGTTTGCCACATGGTTGTCGAAGACAGGATGCTTCGTCGACCAAACAACAGGAACAAAAAGTCCGGAGAGGCTTTCATCAGTGAATCAACGATGCGGTTGCGGAGACCTGAAGGAGCCATGGCAGGCGCAAGTGCCACAAACACGTCAATCTTCTGGTTGAGCAATGGATGAATAGCGAGTGTAGCGAATGCCTGCGCTGTCCCTTGGGAGAATCCAATGTAAGACAATGATGGCTGATCTGTTACCTCGAGGATGTACTCGATGCTGTTGGGGATATCAGAGAAGGCGAACTGATCGATAGAGAAATCCCAAAATTCATTGGAACCAGGCGAGAATCGGATCGACTTCTTGGAGTATTTATTTCCACGGTTGTTTCCCAGCCATACATCGTATCCCTTTTCCACCAGCTGGAAGGGCAGGCACCGCTGCTCGTCTGTCAAGGCCACCCACACCTCACTTGACATGAGTAGGCCGTGATGGAGGTAGACGACTTTTTTCCGAAGCCCACTGGGGCCATGATTGACACGCATATGTTCTTCTCCTTTTCGATATGCCAGTCGATGAAGTCCAAGAAGGTAACCATCGTTCGTTTGTACAATATGCTCCTCGGCTTGATACCCAAAGAGGGCACATATCTCAGTGAAATCGGATGCATCTGCAACAGAGCAGGCGAATATTTCCTCTTTTGTGCGCTTGGGGCGGGATTCACCGGGGATCAAAAGGTTGAAAAGTGCCTTGGATTGGCCATAACAAAATTTGATGATAGGGCTTGCTAGCTAGGGGTTAGTATTGGCATCATCCATTGTTCGGTGATTTTCACTAACGAAGACACCAAGTAATCAAGTGAATGATTGTCTCAAGTAGAACAAGAATCAAAGACCCAAAGAGAGCTAGGTACTCATACCTAGAGACGCGAGGATCAGTTGTTGTGGTCTTTGTAGAAGCTTGGGGCTCCTTACCAGAACAGTCTCCCAATGAACGGAACTCGCGCCATAATAAACGACAATTGCTATGCATATGTGCAGCTACACTTGAAGATTTATGCAAGAGACAGAGATGCTGCAAACGTTTAAAAGCGCAAAACAAAGCGATGAACGTCCCCCGACGTCATTACCAACATGTGATAGCGATGCTTATCTCATCCGGGGATTCTCCGCATCTGCCAATCAGCGTCGAGATTACTGATAGCCCGAATTTGCCGTGGTCCCACGCGCCTCGTTCTTTTGCTCTCTTGCTGCTTGTGGTCGCGCATTCGTCCACAAGGTCGTGTCAACATGCCCAGCTCATGCAACGATATCCGTACGTTGTACCCACCAAGTTGCACAACCGTTTAAGGGAGGGTCATGTTCCTGGCCCAGCTGGACCTTCTACCGCAACCCTCCATTGCCAACGCAAACTGACCACCAATTGATTATCTAGGGAAGGCTCTGGCTCAATGCCTCCAGGAGTCAGACTGCATTATGGTTCAGCGTCATTCGCCCCGTGAATGTCTCAGCTCTCCTCTCGCCGAGGAGTTACCCATGAAATGTCAGCAGCTACGGAAAGGATTCAGCGAGTGCAAGTGAGTCGGGAACCGAGCGTCGAGTCTAGGCCGACCATTATGGACAACAGGAACATCACCGCTAATTATTGGATCTTATCTTGGTATAGGCGTGGTTTGATCGATATGCGCAAGCGCTTCCGTGGCAATCAACCCATCGCTGTATCCAAGGAGATGGACGGGCAACCCGGTAACTCGTCTGGGGGACAGCTATATGCCGGACAACCTGCATACCAGACGGTCAAGGAAATCAGCGGAAACGAAGTGCAGATGGACCCCGAGAAGACAAGAGGTCTGTAAAAAGGGCATTTGGATTCGCTATTGACATGCTGGCATGGCCCGGAGTTCGGTTACGCTTAAAACATACATCTCTTCTCTGATACTCACTTCACTCAAGATCGACTGAGATTCTTAATACCCAAATCTGATCATACATATTACACCTTCACTATCTCTCCCAGAATACCCACCAGGCGATCAGGCATACTCAAGAAAGGCGAATGCGAGCTCGGAAGACGGTGGGTAGTGTCAGACCCACCCATTTTCGAGGCAAAAAACTCCTGGATAGCTGGTGGCAGGGCCTGATCCTGCTCGCAGATGATGTAGGAGCAGGGAATATCACGCCATGGCTCATAGGTGGTTTCGCCCGAAAAGACCGCACGCGAGGTGTGCATTGTTGTGCAATTCCATTTTTCTTGCTGCTCGACGGTCAGGTCCTGCCAGCCAACGTCGCCCGCGCCGTCGGCGTGAACGTAGTCGCCCTTTTTCTTGATCAGCTTGGTCTTGGGCATGATACTGATCATACGATGCTATGGACCAACCTCGACCTTCATCCAGGGTAAATAAGCTCCTCCCAGCATTCCCAGCAAGCTCTGTCCTTTGTCTAGCGCAAATGCAGCCAGATATACAATCTTCACAATGCCTCCGGGCTTCCCAGTCTCCGCATGGACCTGCTTCAACAGCCCCTCGCTAGCTGTGGAAGCTACGACACCCCCGTAGGAGTGTGCCACAAGAACAATGTCCTTTGCCTCATCTGCTAGAGTCATCAATACTCTACGCAGAGAGGCAACGTCGTCTTCCAATGTCAGGGAAGGGGGCTCAGCGCCGATAGAGGGGTGCGCAGGGCACTCGGAAGGATAACCGAGGGTATTCAGACGGTCACGCACGGCATCGAAGACGATAGGAGTGTTCCAGGCACCGAGCGAGAAGACGAAAGTCGGTTTATCCATTTCCAAGAGATTTAAATTGCGTAACGGGGTATTTACAGGAGTGCAACAACCGTTGAACGAGTAGAACATATGAAAATAGAGGCTAATTCTTGGCTCTGCCCTCTCATTGAAGCCCATGCAGAAGTGATGAGCCCTACTGCTGCTTTGGGCAAGTTGAGGTGCTAGTAGACCAATTGAGGATGGACTAAATGGCCCGCTGTGGATATTCGAGACCAACGGCAGTCATCACCGGCTTCAGTTGAGCAATTAGAAATCCACTGTAATCAGTTCCACCCGTTGCTTCGGATGGATTATTTAGTTTGATTCACGTCTATCAGACGCCTGCCCTCTTTTTATGCGAAGAGAATTGCCATTGATATAGTGGCTGTTTCGAGAACATCTACAGCTTCAATCTCAATCTCATCTTCACTGAGGTTGATGTAGCCTGGACTCTACACGAAGCGCTGGACAGCTTTAGGCGCACAACCACAGATGAAACATGTCATGGACTCAAATAAGACTCCCGTAGATATCAACGATACCCATGTTCGCCTCATAGGAAATCAACATCCAATAACAATGCGAATGGTCCTACGTTCCTCAATTTCAGTTTCAGTTCATCGAACCCGGGGCAAGTCACCCAAGTGTATTAGCGGGCTGAGCCATAACCTACACTTCTCCTGGGTATAATTGAATCAACGGAGAGAATGGAATAGGAGCATAGGAGAATTTCCTAGTCATACATAGAAAAGTCTGCACAGTAATTGCTTTTTGCTGGCTTCATATAGATATTAAAAGGCCCAGTAAAGTCTTACGTCGTCAAGGATAGAGGCTGCATGAGAGACCGACTATTTTTGTATCATATCATTGAGAATTGGTCATCATTGTGACCTAATGTATTCATTCGGGAGATCAAGATCATGCAAGAAAATTTAAAATCATGGACAGACAACACAATGCATACAGATAAATCTAAATCTACTGAGTCTTCTTAAGCTTATCAGCCACAGGGGCAGAGTAGAGCCAGACAATGACGAAAGCCAAGAATCCTCCAATCACCGACCAAAGACCGGCAATCCATACCCAACCGGCAGTAATAGCCCAGCTGCGCGGGTACTCGTCGTGGGCGAAGTGGCGGTTGGTAACCTCGTGCTTCTCCTCGATGGCGGTGAAGAAGGGACGCTTGTAGTTCACGCGGAAGGAAAAGATACCATGCTGATCGGGAGTCACGAACTGAGTGCTGAACACAGTGCTGGTATCGGTACGGGCGGTGGGCTCGAGGTTCAGGCGGTGGAAAGGCGAGAGCATGGTGAACTCGAGCTGGAGCGCGTCGCCGGCAGGAACTTCGAAGGGAACCCACTTGTCATAGACATACTCGGAAACCTCAATGCTGTAGATCTGTAGGCAAATAAAGGTTCATGGTTAGTTTGGAAGAAAATGATAATATGTCGTTGTCTCACGTACGGTCTCGTTCTTGATCCGGTAGATCGAGGGGTTCAACTCTGCGCCCTCAGTAGCAAGCCGATGCTCGACCTTGTCAACCTTCAGGACACCAGTCTCTTTGAAAGCCCAAGCAGTCAACTGCTTGGCAAACTCGCGGTTCACGGTGGAAGTCTTCTTGCCCTTGGGCGTCTTGACAGAGGCAGAGAACCACTTGTCCTCCAACGACTCGACTGATCCGAGAACAGTGAAGCGGGCGGAGTTGCGTGCCTGCATAGCCGAAACGATGTTCAGCTGCGAACCGGTAGCCAGAATATCCTCCGCCGCCGGCATGCCCTCCTTGGGGTTGTAGCTGTAGGCAGTGGCGGGGGCCTTGAGAATCGGAGACAGGAGGGCGCTATCACCACCGAGAGTCTGGGGAGCAACTCGGGGGAAGGCAAGAACACCTTCACCATCAAAGAACGCCTTGACGTCAGAACGGAGGGGTCCAGGGCGCTGGAGGACAAGGACGTCATGTTTCTCAGCGGCCGAGAGGGTGTCGTAGTTGAAGTGGTCAACAACAACTTGTGAGCGGTCGGTGGACAGGTGAATATCGAGTTCAAGGAGGAGGGAGCTGATGGCGCTGGAGGTGGCAGTCTTGCCAGAAAGCGCCAGGAGGATGTTACCATCCTTGTTCATGAAGTCGAGGATGTGTTTGGGGGTCAAGGAGGGGCCGAGGCCTGTATTCTGAGGTCAATTGACTAGACATTGTACCAATGAAATCGGGGCTGCCCACCTTTAGACTTGGGAGGGAGGATCAGGAGGTGGTCGTAAGCTCTTTCGCCATGCTTGAACAGGGCAAGCTGGTCACTCTTGGAAGATTCGATTGAGATATCGTATCCACGTGCTGGAATCCAAAATTTAGCAAGTCATCCCTGAATTGAGGAAGAGTAAATTACCCTCTAGATCTGCCCACAACGTGGAGTACAGGTCCTTCTGTTCTGTGTCTTCCAGAATGGCCAACAGACGAGGGCCGGAGCTACTCAGCGCATTTACCACAGCCAAGAAGCAACAAATAAGCAACGCAAGACACCACCTCATTTTGAACAAATTCCGCACAGCGGAGCGGAGAGATCAAAAAGAAGGAAGTAAAGGAAGGTGGTTGAAGATCCAAGTTGTATAGATAGCTAGAAAGGGCGACGTGTTTAATGGGCGAGCGCCAAGACCTGAGAGCGCTGGGTCCGCATCTCCGAACTTCGACTTCACTTCGTCCATCCGGCTTCAATTTTGCTTCTCTTGTTCCTGCCACTCAACAACCACCAAGTGGGACCGGTGTATCTGTTCATTCCTGTGCGCTTGAACATTTTTATTCTATTACTCAGGCATTGACCTTCCACCTACGTCGCAAAAAAGCCCCGACCGGTCGTCAACGACCTCTTCCTACAGCCATGTCTACCCCTCAGTTCTGGTCGACCCCCCTCCGCTACATCCGCTGGGCTGCGCACGAGAAGCCAGCTATTCTCGCTGCCATCGCCATCGGCTTCATGGGTCCCGTTTCGCTGGCCACTATTCCCCCCATCCGCCGCGCCCTCGGTGACGTCGATCCCGAGCCCATTCCTCTGACATACCCCAGTATGAACCCATTCAATTCCTATAAATCGGTGCATGAGCATCAAAACTATATCCGAGTAATTTGAACCTGACCAATATTCTTCATATATACAGTTCCGCAGGGTCCGCGGGTGATCCCCCAGGGCTACGATGACGAATAAGCGGGTTCGACACTACAAAATTGCCAAGTTATCGGAAGTTAGAGAGAATTTCGTGTATTGTCCGAGCCTGTGAGGAATAAATTCAGCGGATGACAGGAGATAAGTTGGCTGTGCCACTGGACTGATGAACAAGTCGCATCGCATCAGTGTGGGCAATCGCAAAGACTTGTTCCGGGGCAACTTCTCCTGGCCATCAAAATGCTTTGATACCAATATTTGTTGCGTAAACGCCAAATGTCGAGCCCGGCGCTACAGTGTATGTACTATGTTTTGTGCAATCATATAATCGACATCAAGTCGCTTTTCCATGTTCCAAGTATCTTGGCCATGTTAGGAATAATTGCCTTCTTGCGCGTGAACAGCCCGATATCGTCTTCCCACAATGGAGACAGGCTGATCTCCGTATTTACTAGTAGTACTACGTGTAACACACCAATTATAGAATTTGCATCATACTCTTAAAGCTAGGGTCTCTGAAAAAAAAAAGTAAGTAATTTAGAAATGATATGGTATCTTGATTCATCCAAGGTAAGAACATAATTATGCAGAGTAAGAGATTCATTAGGATCATGGAGTCAATCCACGATCTTGCACATCAAAACGTCAATCACAGAAGACGGACCAACGCCGCAAATGCTCATATCTACATGTAGGTCACCAGCCTTAGTATATCGAAGCACAACGCTCTCGCAAACCAAAGGAAAAAAAAAAAAAAAAAGAACACGACGACTCCCCTCCTTTCAAGGGAAAGACGAAACAAAAAGAAAAAGTTGCTAAGAACACATAAATCCTGTACACCGTTAAACCAACGAAGAAATCGCATTATTGTGGGGTGAGTATTCCCGGAATCCGTAAGATCAGAGAAACAAACAAAACGCTCAAGTCCGGGCCACCTTTTCGTAAACTCAATCAAGCACATCACTCATACTCCTGGCTGGCCAGTTGCACAAAAGCATGGGAGATAAATCAAAATAAAGAATGTCCATGGGAAGTCCAAGCTCCTGCCACAGAGCAATTGGGTTTAATTCCAGTGGAAGTCCATGGGTAAAAAAAGAAGTGGGATTCATGTCCAATGGGAAGTGGAAAGTCTCCCTGACTGGCCATTTGAAGTGGGATGTAAAACATTGAACATCTCTGGCTTAGTCTGGAGTTCCTGGACTGGAGAGAAATTGGGAAATTGGGAATTGTCACCGAGAGAGAGGTGTGAAGATTATCCAGGGGAATTTCAGACACCAACGTTATTCCTAGGAGCATTTTGGAGATATTCCAGGAATAAAGCATCAAATGGACCACAATGCGGATGGAGAGAGAGAGAGATAGAGAGAGAGAGAGAGAGAGAGAAAGAGAGAGAGAAGAAATCATGAATGTAGGAAAACCCTTGGGGCGGTCATTCTTGTCTACCGCCGACGGTGGGGGTTGTCTCTGGTTGCTTGTGGCCTGCGCTCATACTCTGGAGTGTATCTGGGTTCCATTCCTATCCGGGGATCCGGGGCAGTAGTGGTAGGATAGGACATCCCGGAAGTTACGGTAGAGTACTCCTGTTCGGCATCATATCCAGGTCCCGGGTATCGGGGAGCATTGCTTCGGCCATTGTCGTAACCATAGCCCGTGGGGGCATATGTGTATGATTGAGGGTGTTGCATGTCCGCAGCGGTCACGACGGGTTGACTGGCACCAGAGTAGGAAACCTGGGGTGGAGGGTACGGAGCTGTACCTGATGCATATGCCGAGTGAGTGGCGGATGTGTACGGTGGAGCATTTGTGTAGGGGGCATTCTGGGATCCACTGTAGGAGCCCTGGGAGTAGGGATCCATGTATGACTGAGCGGGC